TTTTTTTCATCGTGTCTTTGTATTTTTTCAAAGTTTTACATGCAAAAAGGAAATTCAATTTTTATATTTATTTTTCTTAAAAAATTAATCCATTGAAAATACTGCAAAGTATACAATTTACAAATATTACTGTTATTTTTAATTTTCAAGTTCCTGTGTTGTTAAGTATCCCTATAGCGTTACCGTACATATCTTCACGACAAAAATTACAGTCTTTTTTCTTTTCAAGATATCATACTGAAAAATCATAGGAATAAGATCCTCGATGTATTGGTAAATAATGTCATCGATGACTCTCTTCAAGCTATGCAATTTTAACTGTCAAAACAATAATCTTTACTGTTAAAAATAATAATTTTATCCTTTTTGCCAACTCGCATCCAATTTAATGTGTGGAATGGTCATTTTTGTTTGAATTTTTCAACAATTTTTACTATTTATTTTCTCTCAGTGTACTCATATAGATATGGCTTAATATCTGACAATATCCCTCATCAAAACTTGCCAACCCTATTCGAATGTGGTCCCGTGCGAAAAAAAGGGATTTCTACTAATGCACGTGAAAAAGGTATTACATTTGCTCTCGTAACAATAGCTATGATATGCTACAAAAACCTACAAAAATGGAGTTGGATTGTGATTCTTGAAAAGCCTCATAAACGTAAAGCGTATAAAGTATTACAACTAAAACAACAAGTTTCGGCGACACGAAAACTACAGAAAATAATAATCGCCAGCTTGGAAGTAAGAAATTGCGTAGGAAATTATTTCGCGACGCGATTAAAAAGTTGTATGAAATAAAACAATAAGGAAGCGAGTGGAGTTTTAAGTTTACAAAAGTGGACAAAGTTCCGGACTTCCAATTGAATTAACTGCACTTGCTCAGCGGGAAATCGTAATTTGTGTGGATTGATAAATGAAAATAAATATCCGTTGAAATTGAAATACTAACTGAAATTACGCGTAGGAAGTTTGAATGTTTTAATTCAAGACTATTTTAAACATTAAAACTTATGATCCTCCTTTGAATAAACTCGAGTTCTTCAAACTGAATCGATGAACCTGATTGGTTCTAAAGTTGTCTCAAACAATTTTTCTTAATATCAAATCCTACATGTCCGAACTTGGAAATAATTATTTTGTGCCTTTCTTAAGACTTTGAAATAAAGTTTTTATACAAAAAAATTTAATGCATCTTTTGTTCCACTCTACTCTTCATATAATAATCAACAAAAAAACACACATTTTTTAAGAAAACGGTTCATTATAAATCATTATAAAGTGTTTGCACAAATGATTAAATTTTCTGACACATTTTTTTCTCTCTTAAAACGTAGTAAACAATTATTCTGGAAAATCCCGTTTAACCCTGTAACGTAGTAATGAAAATGTTCAACACATGTATTGCATTAGGAAAAAATTTTAACGCAAAGTATTTAAAAAAGCACCAACGTCAAAGCCCATAAATCTTGTTAATTTGTTTTTTCAAGCTAATTGCAAACAGTGCCAGCGTCGAGACAAAAGAAGGAAATAACGAGCGTGCGTGACAACACACGAGCACACTCCACGTGAAGATTTCTGTCCGCACAAGAGATTGCATAACAGCGCGTACATGGGTGTAACTACCCCGGTGTGAAAAAGCACGGTCTTTACGTCCGTGAAAGTTCCAAGAGGACACTGTTCCCGCTCGCTACTTCCTGCACACTCTTGTGTGCGAAAATGTCTTAAGCTCGAGATGGTTTGGCGCTATTATTCTTCAGTTGACTTTATGATAGTGATGGAACCAGAAACGTTAACAAGTAGTCCTAATTTATTTTTAAAAAAGTATTCTGATATCTGGGTTATGATATTTTTTAATTTTTAATTTTTTTTGAAATATGTTAGTTGATGATAATTGATTTTTGTAAAAGGAAAAAAATGTCACTGTAATACACTTGAGCTTTTATTTATTGAGAACCTACACCTGGTTTGTCTCTCCAATAGAAGAGTAATACTCACCATCCACCGGCTCGGCATCCTCGGAACTGGCGAGCAGTTCGACGCTCTTGCTCATCCTTCCTCTCTCTCAAAAGAGATATCCGGATGCTCAAAATTTTCTTTTTTTTTTTTTCTTCCTTCCCCCTCGGTTGCCTAGACCACCCTCGTCGGTAGCACCACTTGCTCCGCCCGAGGCCCTTCCCGTAGCCGCCGCGTCGAGCGGGCGAGTTCCTCTTCCTCCTCCCGGCGCCGTCTCTGGCGCGTCATCGTCCTCGGCAGCAACGACCGATCGATCATGCCCTGCGACCCCCTCGACCCCATCCGACTCGTGTACCTACGGCAACTCGATGATGCTGCTACTAATTCGTTTTTGATACTGTCACGGGCTCCAGAGGACAGCATGAATCCTCGTGGTTAGCACTGTTTAGTCCCCACCGGCACCTGGGGATCTGAAAAATGTATATATATTTTTTTAAGAGGAAAATTCTCGCATCTTTCGTAAATAGTGCTTTCACGAGGAAACGCGGAAATGTGATAGATGGGCGTGCAAGAGAAGGGGGGGGGGAAACGATGTTTCGAACAGAGGGTTTTCTCCTGAATGGGGCTCGAGAAAGTGGGTCGCGCGTGTGATAATATTGTTACCGCGGGCGTACTGTTCCATATCTTTTTTTTCCCCCTGTGTGTATTATTACTTGTGAATGGCATTTTGCTGTTTTTTTTTTTTTTTTAAGACTTGCATTAGAGTTTGGTGTTTTGTGTATCATATTTTACAGTGAAAATGTCAGAAAACAAGGAATAAAATAAGGGTAGTACTTTGCGAAGAGGGTTGAGAACAAAATAAATAGCGCCAGCTGGTCCTCGTGTCTTGCAGGGGTGGCGTGTTTTAAGGATGGTCAGTATACAGTTACGTGACGGAGGGGTGATGAAAGATACCTATGCGAGGTCGATGTTTTGTTTACCTTTAACATTGATTTTCTACGAAATGCCCTCGTAACGTGTCACGAAATTTAGTTCCTAAATCTATAGAATCAACAATCTATCAACGAATTTATTTATA